ATCCTAAGGTACAACACTTAATGATAGTCACAGGGTACAAATAAGCAACCAGGAAACAATGAATATCAATATAAATTGTAAGGATACAAGATGAATGTGTAAACATTTTTATATGACTTTCCTTTTAGACAAAATAAAGAAAGAAAGAGAAAGAGGAAAGAAGAAAGACAGAAATCAATCAAACAATCAGACACCGACATATGTCACAGTCACACTTCTAAATGCTCCTCAAGTCAAGATTCGAGGCCATAAAACGCTTGCTTAAATATAAGTGAAAAGAAAAGGCTTTTGGACCGTTTTGTGTCAGATGGAAAATAGTTCTCCCTTCCAAGGTTTGCAAAACTCTTTTTTTTTTTTTTTGCGATCACACAATAAAATCAATGATTTCCCCCATTCTTTCCCTGCATGTCTATCCCAAGTCATTGGGATAGAATTCAAAAGAAGAGCTCCGGAGATTTGAACAGCGGGTGCTGTAGAATTAAATCTAGAAATGCAAATCGGCGAACCACGGCTTTCTATCGCGCACGGCCTGAATCAACAGGTTGCATTCTCAAAACACACTGACTCGTATCTTTGTTAACTCGGGCAAAGCCAGAACAGGCGGACACCCTCCGGAGTTCCCAAATGTAGGTAGGTGCTCCACCAGAGTCGCCCTCGATCCAGAAGTCGGAATTCCCGGTCCCGGACTCCGTTCGCACAACCCTTTGTCCCGCAAGTCACGGACTCGGGTTGAGTTGGCTAAAGTGGCCGGTCGTGCGAAGGCAACCCCAGGGTTGCAGTCAAGGCAATCAGGGTTGCAGGCTCCGGAGTCGACAGAAAAGGCGAAACGCAGCTGAGCCTAAAAGTCGCGGGTCGAGTTCCACCAGGGGCGAAGCGTGCCCTGTCCAGCTCCTCCTGCAAAACCCCACCGTGCCCTTGCCCGTGACTTACCTGAGGTGCTGTCCGGAGAGCCGGCGGGGCTAGGAGGGGTTCCGCAGCAAGAGTCCTTCTTCCCCTTCCAGCCCTGGAAGGAGGGCAGCCACCAGCTGCTGCCACCAGTGGTTCCCCTGCGACGCACCCTGCCTGCCAGCCAGCCAGCCTGCCCGAGCGTTCGCCCACAGCTGACCTGGCAGAGGTGCGAAAACCCGGCCTGGATTCCCCCGAACGAGGCGCTGCTCCGCGGCCGAGCGCCGCCCCGAGGAGAGGGAAAACCCGGCCTGGATAAGCAGAAGGGGCACGGCCGCTCGGGGGCGCCAGCACCCCCACCCCCGGGAGCTGGTAGGAAGCGAAGTGCCAATAACGTCCATAGCTTTAGGACTTCATTGGAGCCAACAGCCGAACAGGAGTTCAGTAGATAGGATAGGATAGGACAGGATAGGAGAGGATCGGGAATAGAATAGAATATGGAATAGAATAGAATAGAGGATAGGATAGGACAGGAGAGAAAATAGAATAGGATAGAATACAGAATAGGGTAGGACAAGACAGAGAATAGAATAGAATAGAGAATAGGACAGGACAGGTCAGAGAATAGAATAGAATGGAATAGAATAGAATAGGAAATAGAATAGAATAGGAGTCTTTATTGGCTAAGTGTGATTGGATACACAAGTAATTTGTCTCTGGCGCATAAACTCTCAGTGTTCATATAAGCAACAAGTGATAAAATGTTTCTTTCTCCTAATATTATTATAACTCTTGAAAACTTAAAATAACTATTGTCGATAGGACTGATTCTGATATTCTGTAATTCCCTTTAAAACAATATTTCGGGTGATAAACAAGCAAGCTTTTAGCCAAGCTTTTTACCACCAAGCAGTGCCTATTCTAAACCAGGAACATTCAACAGCTCTGGACTCCAATCCCCATCCTCCTCAGCCAGGTAGACCCAAGAGGAATAAGGATGCATCCACCATTGGATGATAGTCTGAAGCTAAACTTGCCAGGGAGGTTAGGGTAGGCAAAAGTACCGGCCAATATTTAAGTGAATTTAGTTGAGGGAGTACTTTGAACTCACTCTGCTTAAAAACTAATTCCCACATTGTCAAATTCTACCAAGACTGTATTACTATTATTCTTCTCTTCCTTCCTAGTATCTATCTCTTCCCA